TGGACCCACCGCAGGCGGCGGCAGGGGTGGGGGCCGGGGGCTCCCTGTTGACGCCGCCTCTTCCCGCAGCCGGTGTCCATCCTGGTGCGAGGAGCTTACAGCCTCTCCGACGCGGTGAGTTCTTGACTGGAGCCTGAAGCCCCCCAACCCCCCACCCCGTTCCTTCCCTCAAGGGGCCTCCAGAGCTCAGTGCTCCAGAGCTGGTGGGGCTAGTGGGGAAGGGTCTCCCGCGGTGAGAGGTGTTGGGGGACCCCGCTTGGCTCTGGGAGGCCAGCGGGTGGGTCTGAGGCGGCCCTGTGGCTCACACACATGACGGTGGTGTGGGGGACGGACGGGAACCCCAGCTGGGGTGCACGGCTTATGCAGCACTCGGAGCTGGGGGCCAGGGGTGAGGGGTCTGGGGTCTGCAGCCGCTGCCCCAACAATGCTTCCATGGACTTACAGGGTGAGGCCCCCCACTGGCTTGAGGCCACCTCCCAGGCTCCAGGGAGAGTGGCTGGTGGTGAAGCCCCCCCAGGGTACCCCCAGACCTGCCTGCCCCAGTCCCCCTCAGTTAGCATGGCGGGCAGGCCTCGGATGTGGGTTCTGGGGTTGGGGCACCCACCCCTGAAATGTGTGTGGGTGACTGGAGGTATCTGGGATGCTCCCGCCCAGCCTGTCGCCCAGACGTGGGGCCTGGAGACCCCAAGTCTTGTCCCTACTGGGAGGCAGCTGAGTAGTGATGGTTCACAAAAGTGGTTAACTGTGGGGGCCCCCAGGAGGGCAGGCAGGGGTCCAGGGCCTGGCCCCACCTGCGACCAGGGCTGCCCTCGGGCTTCGGCTGAGGCTGGGGCCTCTGCATTTGTCTGGGGTGGGGTGGGGAGGGGCAGGGGAGCCCCCACAGCCTGCGTAACCTCCACGCAGGGGCCTGGCCGGCAGAGGCGCCTCTGGCCACATGGCTGCAAGTCTCACGTTGACAATCTTGTCTTTGGCATGACTCGAGGCTGTTTGGGAACACTCCTTGGCTCCTTCTCCCCAAAATCCCTCCGTGCGGCCGGGCTCTGCTGAGGGGCACCCCCACTCCCCCATCGGCCGGGGCTCTGCAACCGGGAGGACCCAGCAGGGGCCACCAGGTGCCAAGGGCTGGGACACAGCAGTCTGGGGGCCCTGGCACCCCCCGGCGCCCTCCCCCCAGCGCTGCGACGGTCCCTTCCCCCACCAGCCTGGCGGAGCGTGTCCAGGCAGCCAGGACATGCCTGGAGCGGGCCCGTGGCCCCTGGAGGCAGGGACAGCAGTGCTTGGACTGGCAGTGCCGGGTCTGCGGGTTCTGCTCTGGGTGTTCCTCTCTCGGGGTCCCCTCCTTGCTCCTTGCCGACTTCTGCCTGGTCTCACTGTTTGGGGGTCCCTCCTTCAGCCTGTCCTTGACCCAGGCTGCAGTGTCTTCCTGCCGTGACCACGCCGAGTGCCCCTGTCACCCCAAGCGCCCCTCCTGCTCATGGGGTTTTGGCGTGTTCAGCGCCCCTCCCCAGCCCCCCAAGTGCTGTGTCGTGTCTCCAAAAGCATGTCCTCCTCGGAACCCCCAGCCTGCACCCCAGTTTGTGGGTGCCACCGGCATGGTGGATGGCGGTCTCCTGTGCTCGGCCACCACTCCCCGGGGCCTGAGCTCTCCTGCGCCCCAGAGGCCCACGCGAGGGCGGTATAGGCCTTGGGGGGCCCCGCCGCGGGCCAGGCCCTGGATGGTGCCCGGGCTGGTAAAGGCAGTGCTCACCCTCCTGCCAGTCTTGGCTGGTTTCCTTTTTCCTTTCCACTGGGCACGACCCAGGATGTCTCGTCTGAAATGGTGCCGTGGGTTGCGCTCCCCGAGGCTGCCCGGGTGGGGTGGTAAGACAGCGCTCTGGCCAAGGTCCCACCGTGGCCATGGAGCCGCGTGTGAAGTGGGGACAGGTGTTTTCCATGTGTAAAGTGGGGACAGGTGTTTTCCGCGTGTAAGTGGGAGCAGGTGTTTTCCATGTGTGAAGTGGGGACAGGTGTTTTCTGCGTGTGAAGTGGGGACAGGTGTTTTCCGCGTGTGACGTGGGGAAAGGTGTTTTCTGGTCTCCTCCCAGCAAGGAGACGGTTCCTCCCCTCCGGGCCGGACAGGTGGCCCTCACAGGCTGGAACTGCCCTGCAGTTCCTCCTTCCTGTGCTCACCATGAATTTTTTTTTTTTTT